TGGAGTTAACTAGTCTAAAATTATAATTTTATGTTAACTTGTAAATTAAAATACATGGAGTTACAGTCAAAATTATTATTTATGTTAACTTGATTAAAATCATGGAGTTACAGTCAAAATTATATTTTATGTTAACTTGATTAAAATCATGGAGTTACAGTCAAAATTATATTTTATGTTAACTTGAATAAAATCATGGAGTTACAGTCAAAATTATATTTTATGTTAACTTGAATAAAATCATGGAGTTACAGTCAAAATTATATTTTATGTTAACTTGAATAAAATCATGGAGTTACAGTCAAAATTATATTTTATGTTAACATGATTAATCTTTTTTTATATAGATTAAGATATTTGTTAATATAAGAGAATTAATTTCAAATGGATATTTCTAGTGTAATCTTATTTCAACAGTTCAGACTTTCCCTAAAGAAAACAGAGCTACACAAACCTTTTGCAATCCTTGTAGATACATTTCAACATGGGTTTTCCAGTTATAGTTCTTGGAATTGGTCAGGCTTCCAAGTTCTTCTAATGTCGGAGGTTCCCACTGCTCAGCATTAGCTCGTCGAAGGGTTTCCTCTGTTACCTACAGAAATATATATTATTGATGATATGAAGATAAACTAATTTTTTGTTGAAATGGGTATGAAAAAATAGCTCATTTCTTTATATTACAGTCTTTTTTTAATTCTTGCTCTTTATTATATTTTACATTTTTTCATTTATTGCTGAAGACTGCTTTGATTATTTTGTCAGTATGGTAAAAAAAATATTCAATCTGGAAAAATGGAAATTGGATAATCACTAATGCTCTCAATATAAACAAACAATAATGACTCATAAATAAAATTAGCACAAAAGAAAGAAGAATAAATAATAAAACTGAAGTAAAAATCAAGATAATATTGCTAAAAATTAACAAACAATGAAGTAAACAAAACTAGCAAGAACAGACACACAATAAGCCTTACAAAAATGTTTTCATTAAATTAATAAAAGAACAAGTATTGGTTAATTGAAGTTTGTGGTTTGTTTATCAGATTCTGAGAATATGGTGTTAGAAACAGTTTTAAGTAATCAAGTTAAAACTATTGAGGTTGTTTGGTAATGACTAGTGCATAATCATAATTTAAACACATCTATAACACCCTTGTAAATTTGATTAATTAGTCTGATACATTAGTAACAATTCTATTCTGGCCATTAAACTTAATAACATGGATGAAATTATTTTTCAACTGAAAGAATCAGTGGAAACTCTGGTACAACCGTCAGTTGTTATTATAATACATTGTTGTTAACTTCAGTTGTTATTATAATACATTGTTGTTAACTTCAGTTGTTATTATAATACATTGTTGTTAACTTCAGTTGTTATTATAATACATATAGATAATAGTTTGAGTCTGGTTTATTTAAATTCACTGAAAGACTTAATTATTCCATATATCTTTTTACAGAAAGTCACTGTCAAACATTCCATCAACTTCAAGAAAAATTGAAACTTTAAGAGATTATTAAAGTTTCAGGCTTGCCTCAGAATTCCCTAATTTTCAAACCAGTGTCTAACCATTTAATATCCCATGGTGATGTACTGCATTCTGGTATTCTTCACATGAAAAAAAACATCCCACCTCCTAAGCCTCCTCTTTCACTGATAGGCCCGGCATGGCCAGGTGGTTATGACGATCGACTCACAATCTGCGGGTCGTGGGTTCGCATCCCCGTCCCACCAAACATGCTCGCCCTTTCAGCCGTGGGGGGCGTTATAATGTGACGGTCAATCCCACTATTCGTTGGTAAAAGAGTAGCCCAAGAGTTGGCGGTGGGTGGTGATGACTAGCTGCCTTCCCTCTAGACTTACACTGCTAAATTAGGGACGGCTAGCGCAGATAGTCCTAGTGTAGCTTTGCGCGAAATTAGAAAACAAACAAACAAACTTTCACTGATAATGGACTCAAACTTACAGTGCTGTATACTTCAGCCCCATCTAACAAACTCAGTATTTCCTCTTCCTCCAAAACAAAGCAATACAGATATTGTGTTAAGTTCTGAGCCACCTTCTGAATATTATAAAAGTCCAGCATGTGAATGTAACTACTATAGTTACTATACTAGCAGTGCTACAACAGAAGGTAAGAGCAACACATCAGCAGGTTTCCCAAACTTGCAAAGCCTACACAATTTCTTTCCCATATCACCCGCAGATAGCGGTATTGACAAAAACATGAATGCTCATTACAGGTTTTAAGAAGTTTATGTTGACTGCTACGATGGGGGACCCTTAGAGGCTCATAGATCATGAGAGTTGGTCAAACACAACATTAAAAAATTTAAAAAAGGGTGTGGTAAAAAACAGTTTAGCTGAAAGTGTAAAAATTAATAGTAAGGATTTATTTAAATACATGTTAGGATGGGAGTAATGGGCTTTTGAGAGATAATAAAGGAAAGCTAATTTCTAACTATATTTGTACATGCTTGGGTTACTAAATTGTCCTTTTTCCTTGCACTGAATGATTCAATCATATATTTCCCCAAGGGTTTAAGGAGGTAAGGTCAAGATATGTGACCCATTTACTAATTATTTTTTTTTTTTTTTTATAAGTCCTTAAATAGTGGGTAGGTGCCAGAAGATTGAAAGTTAGCTAATGTTATTCCTCTGTTCAAGGCAGGTGATCAAAATTATAGAGGTTATTATAGGCCTATCAGTCTTATATTAGTGGTTGGAATAACTTTTTAAAGTTGAATAAAAAATGTTTTGCAAAGTCATTAAACAAAGTTTAAAATTTTTTTGGATAGTTAAAATGGTGTCACTAGGGAAAATTACTGTCTTAATTTTTTGACATTCATTGAAAAGGTTAATGTGCTTATGTAGATGAGAGTAAGATGTGGAGTAAGGAATGATTAAGAAATTGCTTAAATTTGCTGGTGACATTATAGTCTTGGGTGTTGCTGGGTGTGAGAACAATGTTGCTACTTTACAAAAGGATTTGGTGAATGAGGTGAATAAATGGCAGATTGTTTTCAATTAAAATAAATGCAAAGTAATGCGTGCGGATTATCATGATTTAAATTATAGGAATAAGTTTGATGGGAACAACCTTAACAGTATATGGGAAAAAAGGATCTTAGTGTTCTGGTTGAGAAATCACTTAAGACATTCAAGCAGTGTACTATTTCTAGTGGTAGGGCAAGTAGGATTTGAGGTTGTATCTATAGAAATATTGAATATATGCCTAGAGAGAAAATAATTTATATAGGTCACTATATAGGACTTATATTTCAGTAACGTGTTCAGACTTGGGCTCCTTATCTTAGGAAGAACACTGAATTGTTGGAGATTGTTAAGAAAAGGACAAACAATAAGACAGATTAAGATCTCTGAAACTGGTACGTCTTGAAAAAGAGAAGAATTAGATGAGATCTGATTGAGATGTTTAAGATTTTTAAAAGAATTGATAGTGTTGATGCATCATCGTTTTTCAAACTTAAGGGAGAAGATGGTAGGACAAGGAGACACAAATATACATTTTAATGTGGTAAGAGTCATCTTCAGCTAAGACACCTGAATGTTGGACCTTTGGGTTGGGTTACCTTTAGATGTGGTGGATGCAGTCAATTAAATGTAGGTTAAAGAAAGGTTTGATAAATATTTAAATGATAAGTACTAGCTTTCTTTAAATGTTGTTCTTTACAGTTTAATGGATAGGAGAACCTTTGTTATTTTTAAATGTTATGCAATGTTATATTAAAACAAAATCTTACAGAAAACAGTTGCTTGCAGTTAGTGATCATGTAGCTTAAGCATTCATGTGCAGCTCGGTTCTCATTAATCTCCCGTTGGTCTGGAACTCCTACGGTTTTCCTTCGTCTTGGGCTGGCACTAGCACTTCTTGGAATGGTGAGGTGAAACAGCGATGGTGCAAAGCATACAGCGAGGTTTGTTGCTGTCATCTGCGAGTAGAAACAAGTCATCTGAATAAACAATACATCTAATTTATCATAATATAACAATTTAAGTATAGCTTTTTATTTTTTTATGAAAGCTTGAAGTAACATGTACAACCCTCCGTTTTCTTCTATCAGCAGAAGGTTTAGAATATAGACACATCAACCTGTTATGAGAGTGAATATTATATTCATGGTTATTTGTAATAAATGTTTCCTAGACTCTAATTTGATTTTCAGAGAAATTTTTAAAATCCCAAACATATAGATTATGAATCTTTAAAATATTTTCCAAATTATATTTCTTATCCTAAGTACCTTAACTTGACTTTACATATATCCTGTACTTCACTCTTTTTTTTTATTTGCCTTCTCATGACATTAAGTAACTAATTCTTTCTTATTTACCTGGTTTTCATCACAACACTGAGAAACCTCTTGAAGGAATGTGAGCAAAGACTGGAGTACCTCACGATTTTCATCAGGCATCAATAGAATAGCAGCCTGTACTGCTTCTTTCTGATTCTCAGTTGGGATATCTGCAGAACAGGAAAGAAAAGAAACATTTAATTAAAGCTGTTGTTACATTGTAAAGGTAAAGTAATAAATATTCTTTATAAAGTTTCATTTAAATTTATTCAAATATGTGCTTTAAAAATCAGTAAATGTAGCATAAATGGGCGTTAAATTCTAGTAGCTCCATTTATCAGTCTCAGAGCAGTATTGCAAGCTAAGGTACTCAGGTTTATATCCTGGTTAAGGCAGATTTCTTAGCATTCTGCTTCATTATATTGGCACTCAAATAGTGGTTGTCTCACCCTCTTAGGGTAACTTTAACAGCGAAGGTGGTGAATTAAACCACTTGTGTATGTGTTTGGTTTAGCAATTGGCCGTGTTAGTGTATGAACTAAAAGTATGATATTCTATGTTGTGTGATAGTGGCTTAAAGATGGTGGGCTGTGTTTTACTGAAGGTTCAATGATTAGTCTTAGTATTAGAGGGGGAGGGATATTAATGGTTACATGGTACTTTATTCCTGGTGGCTCAGTTGGTAAAAAGTTGGTAAAAGTCCATGTTCAAGAACAGGTTTCTTAATGTCATGATTCATTATAATACTATGACAGCTTTAATACACAATATAAACAAATAAACAACACACAAAGATTTGTTTTACTTTGAAACAATTCTCAATAACTGTACTTCTCCAAGTTCTTTTTTTTTTGTTTTATTGCTGTACAAAAAAACTAGAGAACCAAGCAGACAAAAGTCTTTATCTCAACACATTACACCATATATATATATATATATAGTGGTCTGTATGTTTTGTTTTTCCTTTCTTTTTTTAAGAATGAGATGAAACAAGAAATAGATCGAAATTATTAACATCCAACTTTTCATATAGATATTGGTGGGAAATTAATACCACAAAGGAATCATAGTTACCAGTCACGCCATCTAGTGAAAGTTGTTGAGCACCTTGTTAAATTTTTAGCTATACATACATTTAATTTGTGACACTTTTTTTCTTTCTTTCTTTTACAAAAACTCTTAATAATTTGATGATGGTTTAACATTTAATATTTTATTAGTCTGAAGAGCAAATTCCAAATAATCACTTTAAAAGATAAGTTTTTGTACAAAACTATTAATTAATTGTATACATATAATTGAACATAAAACTGTCAACTGCATTTATATTAGTAATGACTTAAATAAGCAGAGGAAAGATAAGAAAACTAAACAGCCAACTAGCTGCAACTTCATACTTACACTGAAAGATGCTGATGAAGGTTTCTGATAGCTTATTGGTTAATAAAGCATCTGGAAGTTCTCTGAAGTATTGCTTCAACATGTCTGCAACATCATAGGGTTGCTGGTCTTCATAACTTATGTTTTCTGGATTGGATTCGTTCAGGTTTCTCAACTTCTGAATTCGTGATCGGACTCCAGACTTTCGGAAAAGACCAACAGCATTTACTGCTGTCTTCTGAAGGTAGCGCATGGCAGCTTGAATAGAAGGAGGTAGAGGCTGACCAGTCTTTTGAAGAATCAAAAGCAATGGTACTCCAAACACTACCTTATCTGTACCAAATTATATCAGAACACATTAGTTAATGAAAGGGCACACTGGAATTTGTCAAAAACAAATTAACAATTTTATATATTCTAAAAAAAAAAACACAGCCACATCCATCAATTCTTTTCGGTTGGCTATTATCATCCTTTGGTATTTTTTCTTTTAATATATTCCTGTACACAAAATATACAATGTATAGGGATAAATTGAAATATAACTTAACTATTAATGTAGTGACACTTTTAAAGTACCTTTGTAGTCTGGGGTGCGGATCTTTTTGATAAATTTTGGTACTCCCCAGTTCCATCCGGTTCGGCTTGTAGGGTTGTACTTTTCCATCAGAGATGTCATTTTAAGAAGGGCTAACTTTCTTAATTTCATTAACTGGGATGCTGATAAGCTACTAATATGAAGGCCATGTGATGTAACTGTCCGAATGTTTATGGAACTTTGACGTCGAATTGAGGGGAACCAATGCCATCTTGTTTGCGATGCTGAGCTGCACCTGATAATTAATAAAAGAAAAATATACATACAAGCACAATAACACAGTTTGTCCTTTAACCAAGTCTGGAATATTCACTTAGGAAACTGTATACATCAAAATATCCATATAATCTTCATACTTGTTGCTTTAGAAACATCGATGCAACATTTAAAAAAATCTGAAGAAAACTAATAAATACCAAGCCTGAAAAATCAAAAGAAATTGCATAAAATATTAGATTTAAGTGCTAACTGATTATCTATGGAATTTAACTATTTTTCATCACTTTACAACCATAACTAATTCAGAAAGTTTATAGGTGAAAATAAAATGAAACATAAGTAACTAACATAATTGTGAAAGCATATATTAGTCTAAAATTATTAGTAGGAGCTCTACAAAATATATGCATCTGGAAACTACATAAAACTCCTTTATTTCTAGATTTTATATACTTCATAAGTACATTATTCTTTATTATAAGCCATTTAGCTTGTTCAACTTACAAAGAACTTCTAGTCAGAGATGAGCCAACACCAGAGTCTCGTCTTTCTCTTGTGCTCAACATCAACCTCTCACCTTCGTCCTGAGAGCTGAGTACTTCAGTGTCTAAGTCCTCTGAAATGAATGATGTATAGAATATACACTCTGGGCATTCTTGTTCATCATTTATCTGATCTAATAAAGGTGCTAAAAATACAAGTATTTCTTATTTACTGACATTTTAGTGGTATTATTGCAAACTCCAAACTTGGACATTTCCCTGTAAATAGTTAAAGAATTTAAACAGTAAAACAGTATTCTGACAATGACAGAATAAAGATGTAAATCGACAGAATAGGATAATAACTACATAAGGTTTCAATGTCCATAATACCGTGAAGCAATATGAATTGAATGCTTGGAAAAAGGTTTTAGCAAACAGAAGTAGCTTTACTTGATGAAAGCAAATGAGATCATGCCAAAAAATTTCACCTTCTACACCTATTGAAGTATACTGGATAAATTAGTAATTACATCAATATTTCCATTTTTTTTCCTTTTTGAAAGTCTAAAACATGTATAGTATTTGAAATATTAATTTATGGCATTTTAAAGAAAATTAACATGAAACATTGAGAAAAGATCAGATGTGTTTTTCTTCTCACCATCTTATTTCAGTAAAATTCTACTAAAGAAGGCTAAAATTTATAGACATAGCAAAATACTAAAAAAATATTACTGAAATGCAAAATACCTCTAATATTTCTATTCGGCTTGTTGCTTGACTGTTCAACTGAAGTTGTTCGACTGAGAATAATTGTTGGAGGAGGTACATTGCTAATCTGTATAGCCTGTTCTTCACCTCCTTTTTGTTTAGAGATCTCTGTTGGCAACTGCTGAGCTGATTTAGTGAAAGAACTACAGTCACTGTCTTCTTTATTAATGTTTTTATTATCAATATTAGATCTGTTTTTTCCTAATTTTCCATTGTTGTCTTCTTTGAGAAAGATGTTCTCATCTTGGTTATTTTGTCTGGCAGAATGCTCTTCTTTTAGATCTTCTGTAACATTGCTGTTTGTATCTTTGCCATGATGCCACAGCTTTGGTGTAGATGATTCTGAAGTACTAGCAACATGCAAGTCAGTCTCCTGATGTCTTTGCCACCTTTTTCTGTATTGCACTTGAGGTGTGATATGTTGACTCTCTTCAGAACCTTCTCCTTGAAGAGAACCTTGGTCAGATGCAGAGTCTTGTGGAGTTTTGTGACAAGAGAGTTGTGGAGAAGGTGCCAAACTACTTGGTGAGCTGCCATCTGCTTCACTGCCTTGTGATGAATCATTGGCTACCTCATTTGCGATAAGTTGCTCACCAATCACTAAACCTTCACGATTCTTCTTTTTACGTTTTCCTTTGAGACTTTCAATTCTTCGTAATAAAGCCTTTGCACTATCTTTAAATCTTTCACTCCCACTACGACGAAGGCTTTCTAAGCTATTTTCTGAAAAATCTGATGACTTCTCAGAACCACAACTAGTTGATCCTCCTGAACCAGATGTAAAATGATCTTCATCCAATGGGACACACAAGAAATCACTGGTTATATGTTCTTCAAAGTTGGATAAATAGGCTACTCTTGGACTATCAGGACTACTCTGATGATCATCCATAAATACACTATCATGGCTACTTGTGAAGAGGTCATTGTCTGGAAAAAATTGCTCTGTAGGAGATGAGTGTTTCAGATGTTTATTGACAGCAATGCTAACTTCCAGAGGTGAAGGAATTCGAGACCATCTACGACTAGTACGCTGAAATTGCCAGTTTTCACTAAGTGCACATTGTTCTTCATCACTTTCTTCTGGAGGCTGAATCTAAGAACAGCATCAAAATGTTCTAATTCCAGCAAATATGAACAAAATATTCAAATAAACACATTGTGATTTTCAAATAAGTGTACTGAGACTGTTAGATTACAAAGTAGAAATATACTGAAATAATCTATTTGTCATTACTTTCTTGTTTTAGAAATACTTCAAAATACTGTCATTCTCCATAAACTCATTTTTGACAATGCTTCAGACAGTTAACAAACTGTAGTCTAAAGCAATTCTTCCCTCAACCACTATAAACAGGCAAATAATATGTGATATTACCATTTCCTTTTTTTAATGTGAAAGCTCAATCACAATAAACACACCAGGCATTAATCAAGATCTTATGAGACCAAACTGCATTTTGAATATTTTAAACACAAATATAATATATTTTGTCTTTTCCTTTTCTGAACAGTAATATCTGTTAAAATCACGAGTATTTTTTGAAACAATAATCAATATAACATACTGAAACTAACAGGAAAAAATCAACACTACAGAGTTAATCTTTTATAAATCAAAAACCAACACTCATTAATTGATTAAGAAATGAAAAATCTGAATATTGAACAATTTAATTTGTTTCTTATTCAGATAAATATTTAGATACCCTACATTAAAGTAAATACATGAAAAATATCGACAGTCCTATAAAGAGGATTAAATTCTACATTTATTCGTATACACTGATGTACACTGGCAACAAACTTACAGATTTCCGTGGCAGGTTTTCTACCTTCATTTTTGCACACTTGTTCAAAATGTTTAGCCGTCTGTGAAGAAATCAAATAACACCATGTTAAGATGAACTCACTGCTAACAAACTTTACTCTTATTGCTTATCTTTAAATCTGAAATATCTAATGATATCTAAGAGGGTATCGAACTGCTGAAACAATGCATTCTAATCTTTATAAGTAAGAACATATGAAAAGTATATTTAAATACCTATAGTTATTACCATATTGATTTTTAGTTTTGGTCTGAATAAGTAGCTTGCTCTGATCAGAAGTTAATATTAGAGACTATATAATATGTTACCATAACTCCCTGCTAATTCAGATCACCGGCTTAGCACCTACAACAAACTTCTATTGCTTTGCTGGAAAATCATAACAGTAATAACTACCTTATATAGAATAATATAGTATGCTTAGACAATTTATATGTTACACGTGTTAAAGGAAAGAACTGTTAATGTTGCTTAGTAACATTGTATCAATCCTTTCAACTGTGTTAGAGGATGTGTAAAGTAACTAGAATAATATAAAAACATGGGATAATTAAACTATTATTCAAATAATCAACAGTTAAAAATAAAAGATGAGAGGTAATGACATGAATGACTAGGTTATTTAACCTTGCATAAATATTTAAAGTAGTAAGATGAATAAACAGGTCTGATTATAAATAAACATACAGAAAGCTTAGTTAAATAACTTGGACCATCATGAGTATTTCATTAGAGAAGTCTTTAAGACAATAATACTATAAAATAACTTACCTGATTAATGCTTGAATTGAATCAGGATCAAGGAATTTATGATCTTCTTGAACACTACTGATATTAATTGAAAAATGTCCATCTGTTAAGGCAGAAATTAAAATAATCAGTTATCACATATTTGTAAAGTTTGTATGGTTGAGTATTCCAGATAATGTTTTCTATAACTTACATTTCCCACGTTTAGATTTTACCAGCTCTGATATAAGTTTACAAGTTATTACCAATACCACAGGATATAATAAAAACATTAAGCATACTTAAAACAATAGCTGCAAACAACTATTATTTTATTAATTTTGCCCAGAAACTGTACCCAATTACATGTAGTATCCAGACATTTCTGCAAGTTGAAATACTCAGTAGAAACTCCCACCATAAAATTCATACATAATGCTATTCATATGAATTATTATCAAATGTTTATTGATATAATTTGTCACACTATCTGCACTATGAAGTCACGCTAAAAAAAAGCCTATTCATTGAATTTTATAGCAATTTAAATTTTAGAAAAATCCATAAAACGATAAAATCCTCAGATCTATTATTTCCTAACATGTACCAAAGACAATTGCAAAACACCTGTTTTTCACATGTAGAATTTGCCACCTATCACAGTAATTTATTATCTAATGAAATACTGCAAGTAAACTTTAGTATTAAAAGTTTTAGGGCATCCTATATCATTGCTACAACTGATATAAATCAATCTTTCCTCTAAATAACCTGTGAAGATCCTGGTCAATTACTGATATTGTTTTTCTCCATAAGCACAATCTCATATTACTGGAAAACGTACTATAAATATAATTAATATGCCAGATTAAGTTTTGATGTAATTTATGAATTGACAATGTTAGGTACAAGAGAATTACATAACCATTAGGTACATCGTAAGAGTTTTGGTTTTGTTTTCATTATAACACAGACAATCTTACAGACAAAGCAGTCATTTTTGCATTCATATTGTTACTGGATCGTTGATGTTTCGTACCCAGAAATTAACAGCACAAAGCTGAGCTGTATTGACCATTGTAATTTTTCTCAAACATATGTTGTTGTTTTTATATTTAAGGTATTAAAAATGTTCTTTTTTATTATTCTACTAGTAGAACATATTAGTGGGTACCATCTATAATTACTCTGGGGCTAGTTATTTTATATTCATTTAATAAATATAAAAACACAAACTGTTAAACACCAATCATACTGGCAAACATCTCTGTGTGGTACAAATACTAAACAAAATATACAGTGTTGGTAAAAAATTAAAATGATTACAAACGCTGTGAAAAAAAATATAAAAATAAAAATCAGTCAACCAAAAGGTCATCTGGATGAAACGACGAGATTTTTTATAGCTTTTTTAATCATATGAATTATTTTTTATGAGGTACTGGGTGGGTTTAAACATAATTTAAAATTTTCTAACAAAGAAACATAAAAACGTCAATTTATAAAAGTACTACTTCTCCAGCTTTGATGTTTAATAATAAAATTTAAGTTCTTAAAAAAACAAATATTATATTAAAACACAGTATGTGCCTTCTCAAACTGGTATTACACAGTAACATATTTTAGTATATACTTCTGAAGTTTATCTTACTCTATGTAAACGTTTCCACGGGCGTCATTAAGCCTGAATCTGCCAAGGGCTATAAATTACAATTGTTCTTAACGTCCCGTTCTCACAACAGTAATAATAAGACCACATCAGTGTACACTTACCCACAGTAACCATAACTTCCATAGCAGGTTGTAAGCACCTTTTCATATTAGTTTGTCTAGTTGAAATATCATACAACCACTGACTGACACGAGCTGTGTTTTCTTTTATAGTCCAGCCAGCGATGTATTATTGTCTGAACTCTTAACTCCGCAAGCGCACCTCTACAGGTTGTCCTGGCAACCGACAACTAGAGGCCTTTGCTAAATGCAGCAAGAGCAAAGTTGGAAGGAAACTAAGTTGGCCAAAGTAGGCGGAAACTAATGAGGTGTACAGGGTATATTCCGTCAGATAATGTTTACAAATAATGTACCAATTCAATCCTATTTTGATGTATGTGAACTACAATATAATGAGCATTAGAGATAAACACGAGTGAAAATAAAGATAAAAAAGGAACATGATCTGCTATTTTTTACCTTAATTTCAATCTGTTCGTTTCGATTCTTTTAACTCCAGCTATCAGATTCAATTTATTCAAACTGAGTCATTATTTTGTACCAAAAAAATTCAATATAAGTTGCAGAAATGAAAAATGTGGGGGACTGCTTCCTCTTCCAAAGATTGAATATACCAGAAAAGATGCTAATTCCCAAAGGTTAGCTAAAATTGTGTATTCCAGTACGACCACATAATATTAGTTATTTGCAAATTATAGTGTTTTGTTTATTTGTATAAGCGCAAGTCATATAAATCAAGTATATGTGTTTGGTGTTAATGAACAGTTTTGCAGTTTTATTCGACATCAACACAGAATTAAAATTAAGTAATAGTTTGATATCTTTGTCACCTATGCGGTTTTAACCACATTAATCTTGTAGACTTCAAAAACGTAGGTTCACAACGGTGATAATTGTTTGTTTTTGAATTTCTGTATCTGAGATAGCAGTCTCTAATTTTGAAGTGATAGACTAGAGGAAAGGCAGTTAGTCAACACCACCCACCGCCAACTCTTGGGCTACTCTTTTGCTAACGAATATTGGAATTGACCGTCACATTATAACGCCCTCATGACTGAAAGGGCGAACATATTTAGGGGATGGGATTCGAACCTGTGTCCTTCAGATTGTGAGTCGAGTGCCCTAACCTCCAAGCCAGCCAGGCTTACTGTGATAACTATATCATAGTCATCTTACAATTACTGCTCACAAAACTACTACTTCCGAGTCCTACATAAGATAAAACCAGAAAGTTACAAGTTAAGGAACACAGTTTTATGCGTGATCTGAAGTCAGTCCGTTAGATATCTTGTTAAAACGTGTCTAGTTTGGTAGTTTAACCAATGAAACAGGTAAAGATATACATACCAAAGACAACCCTATTTTAGTAAATACGCATTCGTCGTAAATTAATCAATTTAAAAACATCAATAATGTTTTTTGTTGTTGTTTTCATGAACAACAGATTGTCTTTTAAGATTAAATCTAGGGGTTATAAATTCTACGGAGGACTAGGTCCCCGTGGATGCTCTTAGATTTTTCGAAAGTGAAAAAGTAATAATATTTGGACTGTTATTGGATTATACTGTAACTTTATAGCATCTACACTAAAAGTATAACACTCGTACTTTATTATAAAGTTCTTATAATCTTTTTTGGGAAGATTTCTAGAAGGAGGTGGGGGGGGGGGTTCTTTTATCCTTCAGAATTGGCATCTCTAGCGAACAAGACTTGATATAAAGACATTTGTTTTCGTTATATGGTTCCTGTACTTCTGGGTATTCTATAAGATAACGTTAGATCAAATATTAAGGAACAAAGACGTATGCATATATATATGACGTAATTTGTACCTAATCTAAGTTACATCGACAAAATAACATTGTGGGAGAGCGTAATAATACTGAAGATGGGGGGGGGGGGAGTTTCCACAAGAAACCTGCTATATGCCTTAAATTAAAATACAGAATAAAATGCAAACAATAACCTCTAGGGAGTTGCACTAGTTTCTACGTTAACGTGTTTATTTTGAATCAAATATTTCCAAGTCGATGTCAGAAGAAACACGTGCTAATCCTGATGATCTGGAATCGCATAATTATGACTCTTTACGATCAATTTACACAAGCATCTGAGAAAATATTAACAATAACTGTTTATGAAAATTCTAATATATCGTTTAGAAAGCATAACATAAAAAAATAGTCCTAGTAAGGACTCGGGAGTAATTTAATTTAGAGGTGTTTAATAACAACTGGTTCTGTATCTGTTATAAGATAACAAAAGTCGCTTATATGGCTGAGCAAATCCAAAACAAGACGAGTGCTTGGATTAATATTCCAATCATAATTGAAAGAATATTGCCCAAATATTTTACCAAAGGTATGGGAAATACGTTCTTGATTATCAAAATGAGGATTTGGAAACGACATGTGTTAGAGAAAAAGGCAAAAAGTACATCGAAAAAATAGAATACTATTAGTATTTTCGGCTAGCTCTTGTGTATAGCTTTGCTCGAATATCCGATCTTACCTTTCAGAGATTAGTAGAGTGTTTTTGTAATTTTTTTGTATAAATTTTATTCCAAAATAGAAACACCTTCAATTAAAACAATAAAGCATCAGTTATACTTCTTCCAATTCTTATTTACTTCGCTACAAATCGGTGTTTCAATCATTTCAATTACATTTCAAATATTAGACGTAAAGTAAATTTATAACTCTTAAATAAATGTTATTTATTGTATTGTACGTTAAAATTGTCGTAAACTACCCTGTTTCTGTGATATTTATATAAATCTGATACTTTAATCGATATATAGTTTTTCTTAGATTTAATAAATGGGGCGCATAGCCAGGCGGTTAGGGCACTCGACTCGCAATCTAAGGGTCGCGGGTTCGAATCTTCGTCTCACCAAACATGCTCGCCCTTTCAGCCTTGGGGGGGGGCGTTATAAAGTTACGGTCAATCCCACTATTCGTTGGTAAAAGAGTAGCCCAAGAGTTGGCGGTGGGTGATGATGACTAGCTGCCTTCCTTTCACTGCTAAATTAGGGACGGCTAGCGTAGATAGCCCTCGTGTAAGCTTTGCACAAAATTCAAAACAAACAGCCAATTTAATAAATGTCATTGTAAAGCAACTGAAATCAAGTAACAATGTATTGTAAGAACGTTCAAGCTCTCTTGTATTAAAATGAATATACTGAGCACTTATTGTACGTCTATTTACATCACTAATTGGAATTTAGTTTTCTTTGAAGAATGCCTTATGATAATCTTCACGTTTCGTCCACGTGCCTGCTGTTGTCTCTTGCAACGTGACTTTGTCGCACATATGAAAGCATCCAATGGATGAATACATCAATATAATAAGGCTATTTCGAGGTCTTCAACTTAAATGTCCATTGTTACCTGCACGCTTTGGAGAAATTCGTATACTAGTGTAAAGGTAAGTAAAGGAATTTCGTCACGTGCCTCCACACTGTGTCAGCGTTTGGAACAATCACACCTACAGGACTTTCTATGTTAATAGAACATATAAATTATCTACCAACCAATCTTGTTAAAATACGCAACACAGACCAAAACTCTTAAATGGTATAATTAAAAACAATAAATGTATCGTGTTATGCATTAAAAAAGTAAATAACAATAGTTAAATGAACGTTTTACTCCATTTATTTTAACAAAGCAGAAAGATACTTATCAATAGTACGTATCTTCTTTTTATCTCAGAACTCTTAAAATTTAGATCGTACAAAGAATGAAAATGTCGGATGTATATACGATCATTTGTTGTTGATTTTTAGACTTTAACGCAAATATACACAAGTTATATGCTGATAGCTGTCCTTAATTCCGAACTGGTAGACTAGAGGGAAGACTATACAACAGTACCCACCGCCAACGTGAGGGACACTCTTATTTAATCTAATAGTGAGAAGCACATTTTTGTAGAGACAAGTCGCGAACCGTGAATCCGCAGATTCACATTCCAGGCAAGCTAACCATAAGGTTGCGCTTGGCCCGTTTAGCGACTTCAATAGATTTCAGCTTCGTGCTCCTAATCAACAAGCTAGTTACAAAAACAAACTGTCATAACATCTAGAATATTACTCCTTAATCAATAGATGATACCCTTCACCTAAGTTATTATTAATCAGATTTTGAATGCCTATATTAAACTCCCTGATAAAGTATAAGTTTAGGTTTCAGTTGATACACATAATGCCCTGCTTATTCAGATTGTAAAATTACAACTAAATGGCATATCTCAGTTAATTTCAGTTCAATATAGGGGTGGCATAAAACAATTTCGGCATATTTTCTCTTTTCAGTTCTATTCAAAAGGCATATCTGTGTGATACACATTTTCATCACTTACAACTCGGCATTTAAACCATGAATAAGATTTGTGTCCTATTTATTGGCTTTGCGAAAAATAAAGCATATTCGGGCTAATGCCCCATTAAACAGAAAATATAGGGGTGGGCAATAGCAAACCTCTAATAAAGATAATTTTTCCACATTGAATCCAATTATGTATGATTTTATGCCTTTTTTTCAATAAAATATGCATCACTCAAATGCTAAATTTTTTTAATTTTATCAAATGTCCCACTTTTTCCTGGTTCCTGGGGATACAAACGTATGTTCGCGATAACAAACAAACATGCACACGCTAGTAAATGTCGTGTTTGGTTATATTCTATGAGGCCTTTGTAAAATTAGTTGCATGCTATTTACAGCAACAGTTGACTTGATATACAACACATGTTAGAAATAACATTTTCTTGCCTATTGAAATAGAGAGGTACATACAAGGATTTGTTTGTTTGTGTTAGAGCAAAGCCACATTGGACTATCTGCTTTGTCCACTGCGGAGAATCGAACCTCGAATTCTAGCGTTGTAAGCCCATAAACTTACTGCTGTCCCACCGGGGGACACAGACCTTGATACTTTGGTATTACAGACAAGTAAAGAATTTTACCTTTAAAATTACAGATAACGTTATTAAGGACTATTCGAATATACGTTATTTGTATATTTGTTTATTAACTGTAAATGTTAAAGTGTTAAAGTGTTTACTTCTTTAACCTTCATTGGAACACAGTCTGTTAAAATAAGAAGAAAAAAAAAACAACAAGTTAATCGAATACGCAAGATGTTTAAGAATATACGCATAATATTTATGTTAAAACCAATAACAAATCCTATGCGTCTCAAGCATTTTTACGTCTGGGAAAGTAACAATGAAAAATACTTTACAACTATCGGTTAAATATCACGTTATATTCAGGAAGATTAGTTTTAAAAGGAGCAGAATAACCAACCGTTGAGCTTATGCGAAAACTTATAATTTACAAACCTTTTAAGCATTTAAATATTTGAACAATTCTACACAGATACCTGCAGTGCAGGTGAGAAGTAAAGATGGCGATTAATATACAGTCCAAGTTGCTAATATTAGGAAGTACATAAACGAATCTACGATTACATAAGTTTCTTAATTAGATCTTCAAAATTAACTAATCAACGGAAGCTTGAAAGAATATATCCAACATACCTTCGTAAATCTGGGAATACTGCGGAAATCCTGCTGCTCTGAGCCAATTGCAAGCTTCTATTGCCTCCAACTCTGAAAAAAAAATATATTGCAAAGTTAGATGATACTTAGGTTCTTAGAGGTTCTGAAACTATTTTAAGAAGATTCAAATTAGGTTCGTTATGAAGAAGAACGTACAGCAAGATGAAGAAAAAACGATATGTCGCCTAAGAAAACCTTTAAAAACCAACAATCAATTTTCATCATTATGATGCTATGGGTCGCACCTTTCTTCGTAATAGGCACGTTGAACGCACCAATACTGTTAATTAATGAAGCAAGGGGTCGCAAAAAAAAGGAATTCGAGACCACAAGATGTAGCATTTTTAAGTCACGAAACTGACTGGGGGGGGGGGGGGTGAAGAATTTGTCCTCAGTTATATATATATTATTAAATCTAATAAACGACGTTTTGATTTGTCATTCAGCATCACAACAGTTTAATCTTAACGAATGGAAGACATGTAATAGTGTAATTAATGCAAATGTTGCTAAATACACGATATTGTACTTCTGAGCTTTTTGGTAATTGCTGTTTAAACGATCAATAAAATGTTAGGTGTGTGTGTGTTAGAGAGAAAGAGAAACAATAACGCAGAAAGATAGATAGGTTGCAGAAGAATACACAAGTTCAGCAAATATAGAAAGATGTTAATACAGGCTTCATATCATAGCAACCTACGTAATAGATCAGAATTTAAATGAATCAGGTTATGTACATGGCTAACTTATGACATTGTTCTTCCTTATATTGATTAAAATACATTGTTTTGGTATCGAAATCTCAGTAACATCTCACAGCTCAGGAGATTTAGTTTGTTTGTAATTAAGCACATAGCTACACAATGGGCTATCTGTGCTCTGGCACCACGGGTATCGAAACCCGGATTCTAGCGTTGTAAGTCTGCAGACATACCACTGTGCCACTGGGGGGGGGGGCTTACACTTAATCAGACAGATGAATGTTCCTTGTGTGTCTGATAAACAGGATTTATCATGAATTATGGTTTATTGAACGCTTTCTATTTACAACTTGTTATAAAATTACACCATCATCAAATAACATTGATTTTTCAATAAATCATGACGAGAAATGGGTTGCAAGATTAACTCATAAATAATTTTATAACGTAAAAGGACGCTTGTTTAGTTGGAGAACTTGTTAAAGCCCAATAAGTGCGCGCTTAAATCTGCACATTTATCTGAGATCGCAATTTCTTAAGCTTTCAAGTATAATGAATGGAAGGTTAGAACAACTAAAAATCGTGTCATTTTGTTTACGGATAACAAACTGTGCAATAATATAAAGACAACATGCATAACAGTGGTTAGCTTGTCGGGCTGCGGATCGAAGGAAATAGGGTTCGAAGTATGATGCCTCTCAACACACTCGACACTTTCACTTGTGTTGAAATAGTAACAGTCAACTACGTTCTTTGGTTCAAAGAACAGGATAGAGCCCTTGTAGCAGTGATGAACCCTAGTTAGTGCTAAAGACGTTGATATGAAATATATTTGGTTATATTGGACAACATAGCTCATGGTCAATAATATATATATATATTCGCTTTCGGTAGTTCTCTCGCTTAATCCATGTTTCTTAATGCGTCCAATTATGATGCTTGAAAACATAGTAAATAAATACATTTGTACGCCATCTAGTCTTTCTTTTCATCAATATACAACTATTGACGTCATCTCCCTTTTTTTTTTCTTCAAAATATTGGGAAAATTAATTGTGTCGGTCTAATAATTAGTGAACAGACATTGCTGACTCACGAAACTCATAAAAACATGTTTTGTATTTTGAAAATATTATTTTACGATTCTTTGGTAAACCTTTTTCGATAATCTCACGACAAGATTTAATTATCTATCCAAAACTTACGAGTTTCATCAGATGTTTGATTTAAAAATTTACCGCTAAACCTTTTCGCTGTATTTTGATAATGCGATTTAACCATCTATCCCATACTTAGGCTTTCATACCAGTTTCGTCACGTATTTGATTTAAAAAAAAAAGACCAAATGTAGAAAGTTATTCCTCTTAATACGTATTATAAAGGTATGACAAATGTTTGTAAAAGTCTTCTAAGCAAACATATTTCGAAGAATACCTTGAAGAAAAAAAAAGTTCTTAAATCCGAAATCGCTCGTTTTCGTCAGTCCTAGTGACAAATGAAAAAAGGGCACACTGATCAGTAAAAAGTTTAATTGAAAATAAAGAGGAACTTTAATCATACTTGTATGTTACCACGTCGTACATAAAATATGATAAACGGGAGTATGACATGGCCTGGTGGTTAGGTTTTGAATCTTGATTCGTAATCTGCGGATCGGAAGTTCGAATCTCGTCCCTAAACATATTATTTCAACAGTTAGGGCAATATGATGCAAAATTCAACAAAACAAACAATTTGTTATTGTTATTTGTTATTAATTACAAAGCTATACAAAGGGCTATCTGTGGTCTGCCCGCCACGGGTATCGAAATCCGGCTTCTAGCAGTATAAGACCGGAGATATACCACTGTGCCACTGGGGGAGGGGGGATGTTTAATTGATTAAGTAGCTATCTCCTTAGTCTATATTAGAAAACCCAGGGTGTTTGTTTGTTTCAGACATTCGCACAAAGGCTATCTCCGTCCTCCGTCCATAACTTTGAACTGAAAGATTAGAGAGAAGGCAACTAGTCAGCAGTACCCACCGCCAACTATTAGACTAATAGAATATTGGTTTGACTGTCGCTCTTACAACCCCAAAGTGCAGAGCACAATTTTATTATTTTTACTTTTTTTTTGTAATAATAGAGGGTGAATGATGTACATTCGAATCTATAGCCGGGCACTCTAACCAAAGCCACACAACAGACTATTTATATTCAGGTCCACTACGGGGAACTCAACTCCAGATTGTAGCGTTATAGGTGCGTAAACTTACCACTGACCCATTGGAGGGTAATTAGGCGATACTCGGCCCAAAACCCATTGTGGAATTGATTCATAAAATGGTGTTAAGAGCAACGGAAAAGCACCACACTCTTGTTTTCCTTGATAATCTTTTTTTGAAATAATATTTCAGAATGTAGTGAGTTTTATACACCAAAACTTAACATTATATTACACCCAGAAGTGTAACTACATAAAAAAGTAATCAAGTCCCCTACATTTATTCCCTTTGTCGGCAATTCTGAAGTTTGTCAGGCACTTTGGGCCTGTTCTCATGGCTCATCCCTCCCCTCGCAATTTCGGGTTGTGGTCTGGTATGGCCAGGTGGTTAGGGCGCTCGACTCGCAATCTGCGGGTCGCGGGTTCGAATCCCCGTCACACCAAACATGCTCGCCCTTTCAGCCGTGGGGGAGTTATAATGTGACGGTCAATCCCACTATTCGTTGGTAAAAGAGTTGGCGGTGGGTGGTAATGAATTAGCCGTCTTCCCTCTAGTCTTACACTGCTAAATTAGGGACGGCTAGCGCAGATAGCCCTCGTGTAGCTTTGCGCGAAATTAAAGAAACAAAAACCAAAAGTCACCTAGTTTATTTTATCATTATTTTAAACATTGAGCAGCACAAAGAATAAACAATTAGCGGAAAAAATACCAAAAATCAGTATGCAGCTTAATATTTTGACAGTTGTATTTATCAAGTGTGAATAAAGCTAGGTGTTACCCATTTTCTCGTCAACACAATAATAACATAAAAAATATCTCGTCTACGTATAGTTAGTAGAATTGAAAACATGAAACGTTTAGAGGGCTTCAACGAAAACACCAGTCTGACAATAAAATGTAATATACAAGATATTTACGCTCCCATCCCTCCGACTTTTGTTCTGAGCGGAAAATAAGCAACCACCCCCCCCCCACCCCCCCAATTACTTCTTTCAAACAAATCCAATATTCCGACAAATTATCCATGTCTTTACTATGATTTGTCGAGGTTTGTATCCATGACTACTATGACTAGTTAATTAGATTTCTCAAACAAATTGAAATTATTATGTTTGTTTCAAATTAAGCACAAAGCTACATATTTTTTGCCGTTTTACATTATGTCACAACATAGATAACTGTTCAGTAAATAAGTATACAACAAAAAGCAACTTAATTCTAGTTGCTTTTACAAGGATAACGTGAAGATCAGATTGTGATGTGATCAAGTGAATAGGATGATCACGATCATATTTCTATTTTACAAGGATAACATGAAGATCAGATTGTGATGTGATCAAAGGAATAGGATTATCACGATCATATTCCTATTTTTACAAGGATAACGTGAAGATCAAATTGTGATGTGATCAAGTGAATAGGATGATCACGATCATATTCCTATTTTTTCTAAAATTAAGGGTTCGATTCCCCTCGGTGGACACAGAAGATAGCCCGATGTGGCTTTGCTGTAAGAAAAACACACACACTCATAAATGAGGCCCGGCATGGCCAGGTGGTTAAGGCACTCGACTCGCAATCTGAGGGTCGCGGGTTCGAATCCCTGTCACACCAAACATGCTCACCCTTTCAGCCGTGGGGGCGTTATAATGTGACGGTCAAT